TGGCTCATTGGGTGGCTGGTGTGAGTCTGTGCATTTAAAGTGTTTCTTCTCTGAAGCTGCTCTGCACTGCTGTATGCCATGTTAGATGCTCAGAAAATGTGGGAAATGATTACTAAGCTACTTAAGTGCTTTGTTAATGCTCGAGACATGAACAAGTACAGATCCTGCAGGGTACAGCTATGAGTTAGGTGCTAGGTGAGTAGAGTATGTTATGTGAATGTGCTGTTCCCTGTTTGACCGTAAGTATACAAACAAGCACAGGGTCACAGTTATATTCAATCTCCACATAAACATACAACAAAAACGGCCATATAGCCTAACTCCGAACACACCACAGATAACTTAATTGCCTTTGAAGGCACAAAATGTTTTGATTAACAGGACAGGTTTACAATATATCCTCTGTCCTAGGGGGATCTTGCTGCCAAGTTGAGGTATGATGACTGAACTTCAGGATTGATCAACCTTTTCTTAGCCACTGCTTATATACGAGAAAGACCAAATGCTTGTTTGTTTTGATTTACAGGACATGTATACAATATATCCTTTGTCCTTGGGGGATCTTGCTGCCAAGTTGAGGTACGATGAATGAACTTCAGGATTGATCAACCTTTTCTTAGCCACTGCTTATAAACGAGAAAGACCAAATGCTTGTTTGTAAACTGCGTTGAAAATTTAATGATCCACCTTCAATTCTGACATGAAGGCACAAATGAAATAGTTCCCTCTCCTTTTGGAATACACAAAGCAAAATATTTGATAAATTTTAGTGGATGGACAAGAGCAATTCAAATTAGCATAGCTTTCCCTCAAGTTCACTTCTGGCACTGTTGATGAATTACAACTGACGCTTATTCGCTTCATATTTTGTAACAAACGCGCTAAAACTGCAATATAACAGCACTATATCCTTCTTGACAAAATGTATTAAAAATTTAGCCCTGATGGCATTCGTTCTTGGTGAAAACGTAATTACAAAATATTTTGTAGTAACTATTAAATTCCGGCCGAAAACAGTGCACGGTTTAAAAAAGAATCATTCCAATGACGGTCCATTCTTGCGGTCCTGAAATCGCCACTATTTCCGGCCTCTCCAACGCAACTCGTTGTCCAGACGTAAATATGCTTGGCGGATCCAGATAGGCGGTCTTGGACGCTGCGGGAGGGCATATCTCCGAAAAGGTTTCTCCAAATTCTAAAAACTCATCGGATTTCGATTCCTTTCGCACTGCTGTGTAGTTTAAAAGATGCTTTTTTATAATAAAAGTTGTTTAGTTTTCGTTTTATCCTTGAAAAAAAACGAAAATTTTCTTCGATTTTGGACGCTGCAGGAGGGGGGGGGGAATTTGCGCCAAATGTCCCCCTTTGATCCGCCAGTAGTTCGGTACCTTCAAAAACATATGGTACAATCGTACACGAAATAGGAACAAATAGTCACCATGATACTTTTTTTTTTATAAATTTCGTCCGAACCTTTTGATGGGAAGGATTCACAAGGACAGAGCCATCGCTAAGCGAAGCTTGTTGCGATGACCCTGCCCTCTACCCTCCGATCGCGCAATTCCGGTTCTATGGCAGAATTTAGAGTCCAAAGTTTAACGTGCGCACAAAGCCGCGCACGGCCGGTCCCCTCGCTGACTTCGCCTGGCTACGGCCTGCCACCAACCGCAACCATACCTGTCAGGAGGCCCATAAATGTCGAGCGCCCGTCGCGCTTCGAACCCGGACTGTCATAACCGGGAACGCGTGCTCTCACCACGCGGAGTCCAACGCTCTAACCAACTGAGCTACGGGACCGGCTAATATTCGTGGATATAGCTACAGACTGAGACATTCCAGTCTCACGGTGATAAAGGGCAGTGATATATCCTAACGGGTAGGGTGAAGCTGGGCAGGAAAATGTCTTTTGAGTCTTGAACGCGTTGTATTTTTCCATGAAATTGAATATATTAATCGGGTGACAAATCCTCCAGATTTTCCTCCAGAATCAAAAATCCTCCAAACGCGAAATTTGTCCGCAAATAGAGTTCAAAATCCTCCAGATTTGCGGAAATCCTCCAAATCTGGCAGCACTGGCACGGTCCGCCGGTCCGCCGACATCAAAACAACGGTGCGTCAGCTGATTATTGGTCCTCCGATTCAGGAGAAATTATTAACGCGGGAACGCCGGCGCTAAATAAAGGCGGTAGGATTCACGGCTTTGCATGATCGTGTGCAATATTTTTTTTTATAGTATCAAGCGAGGGGTATTGCTGGAGTTTTGCAAATAAATATTTTGTTCTCAGTTTGGCTATGCGATCGTGAACACTTTATTTTCATAGATACGATATAAAATAGGATAAACAGGCCAACCCAAGGCTATGTAGGCCAACCTTAAACTTCGCATAGCCATGGACATTGCGTAGGAAGGTACTCGCCGATCGTACCACGATACCACGGGCAAGATATCAGACTTTTGGGAGTTTTGTGTCGCTGAAATGTATTTTAAGTGCTAAGAAGGAAAATAATTCAATTTAATGATGTCATGTACAGTGGGTCTATTTAAGATCTCCAGAGCCACCACGTGGCGCTACGGTCGGGGTAGGGCGAGTCCAAATCCCGAGGGAAGTGAGGTCACCGGTCATTGTGGGGGAAGGAGGGAGGGGGAGTGACGCGGTATATGGGGCGTGCGTAGCGCCGGGCAGGGCCGCGCCGCCCGCCACTGCGCCGAGGCTGAGGGGAGGGGATGATGGTTGCGGGTGCGTTCACTCCGGTATGGTGGTATCCTGTTCATGTGGAACCGGCAAGAATGCGACTGAAGGGAATCATTATCTCAAACAAACGGGCAAGCCAGAGGCACCGTCAGTTCCAGCCAAAATGTTGAACAATGATAATTGAAATCTGGGACGTATTCATAGCATGCAACTGTTCAGTCGATAGTTGCATGATGCTTTTCATGATGCATGATGAGGCTTTTCCAAACTGTTATTTGAGTTAGATATTTTTCATTTGGCACGTTCAGTTTTGGTGGGTTTTATCGGGTCGAAAAGAAGCATAAAAGAAAAATGTTGAAACGGCTCCAGACAAATGACCAAAAATATTTTTCTTTAAAAATGAAACTTAGCTGAACATTGATAAGCGATAATTTTGACTTTTGGAGAGGATAACGGGGAAAGATATTGGGGAAACATGTCATCGTGCTTATCTGTGTTGCAATAGAAGGAAAGGTTTTGGTTCGTGTCTAGATAAAAACGGACCCGGGAGTGGGGCTCGAACTCACGACATCGCATTCAGCTCACAGGTTACCCAACCTCAACGCTACGAGCACCTATCGCCCTGCGCAGCTTACTCAGTGTTTCGGCTAAAGTTCGGCCAAGGTGTCTGACGTCTGTCAATGTCACGAGGCGAAACCCCAAGGTTAATGTCCGTCCCGGTAGCTCGGTCGGTAGAGCGTTGGACTCCATGTGCCATATGGTGAGAGCGCACGTCCCGGTTGAAAAAGTCCGGGTTCGAAACGCGGCGTGTGCTTGACGTTTTTGAGCGGCTCTTGACGGGTATGGCTGTGGTTGGTGGCAGGCCGCTGCCAGGCGAAGTCAGTGAGGGGACCGGCCGTGCGCGGCTATGTGCGCACGTTAAAATTTGGACTCTAAATTCTGCCATAGACCAGGAATTGCTTGATCGGAGGGTAGAGAGCAGGGTCAACGCAACAAGCTCAGCTTAGCGGGGACTTTGTCCTTGTAATTCCTTTCTTTCAAAAGGCCCGGGCCAAATTTATATTAAAAAAGGGGGAGCCGAACCAGGTTGGGCCGGGTTGAACCCGGTTGGACCGGTGTCTTACACGCAATCGTGGTCAGACAAAACAGAGGCTAATTTCGGGTCAAGTATTTTTATTAACTGATCTTATTGTTTTTAGCTTACACGTATAATAACTTTTAGCTTTTTAGCTCCAGACTTCATGCACAAAAATGTGGCGTCGTTCACTTTTCCTCATCTTCTCTTAGCGACTTGATTTGACCTTTTGTCTTACCAGCCAAAAAAAAAAAAATCACCTGCGTGATAATTACCTATTTGCCAAAGGGCGTTCTACGCATGAAACACCAGCCGGTCAAAAAACTGGCGAACGATACGATCTTTCTATTGCTTGAATTATATTCAATGAACATTTCAGGAGACATAAATAATCTTAATCCTTATAGCTACTGGGCGCCCGGAGCATTCGCTTGCATTCCATTGCCAGCTGCATTACCAACATCACATTTGCATTACTTTGGGTTCACCATAGTTGACTTGACAGAGCCGGCCACAGCAAGCCCATGCCTCATTATCCTTTCCGTCCAAGCAGCCAACTGCCAAGCTAACCGGCCGCCCGGTCCACCACCGCGATATGGAACAACGCTGGAGTGCGCCATTTGCCTGCGGCAGTGCCCCACCGCGCCGGGGCTGTTTGACAGGTCACCCGCACCGTGACCTCGCCAACCGCCCCCCCCCTCCGCCCACCTCCCCAACGGGCTCAGCTCGGTAGTGACCTCTCCTTGAATCTCACATGGACTCGACTGAGGCTCAACGCCATCTAGTTGCGTCTGGAGATCCTTACTAGATCCACTGTACAATGGACATTTAGCCATTCCAAGCATATAGTTTGCCTGGCTTCGACAACCAGATAGCCAGGTTTATTTCAAGAGCTTCTAAAGAGGTAGTGGATTTAATATCGTTTCTATTACATTTATTTGATAATCCTACATATCAGTAAACCTGCCACGTTATCATTCTCGTCGAGCGATTACCGGCACATCGTACCAATTGGTACGATGTGCCGGTAATCGCTCGCCGAGGATGCCAATGCAGCGTCGAGCGTCCGATGGTTTACGATAGGAATTATAACAATAGTTTTAAACTAGCGCTTTTTAGAACCATGGTCCGAAATGGTAATTCAAAGAACCTCTTCCCCTTTCAACTCACCTGAAAAAGCTGCTTTCGTGTACCACCCAGCACCCGTTTCGTAGATATATCAAAATGATAACCGGAGGCGAAGATTATCTTTATGATACCACGATTTGTGGGGCTGACTAGTACCGACGGGGATCCCACAAACACGACGGTCACATTCATTAAGCATGATGTACGGCGTAAAGCACCACAACTCACCCCAAAAGCGCAACCTTCTGAGATATCTTATATTTAGTTTCAATGCTGGTACTGGTGCAGTTTCAATGCTGGTACTCTGCTCATTTCTGCTCAATAAAGTTATTTCTCGCTTAAATGCGCCTCACATTAATCGTGTGCTGTGCTCCACAATCATTGCGCCGCGCGCTCTTCCTTCTTATCGGCCGCCTTGAGATCGTATCCATCAATATCTGTTTGCTTCTAAGTTCTAATGACTTGTAGAGAAACAATTTTAGAGCGTTTAACAAAATATTTGCATAACCTATGAGCGATGGGAAAAGCCCAATCGTCCAACTCATAAAAAAACATTGGGACACAAACAACTGGAAACTGATGGTAGTTGGTGCTTTCGCGCATAGGCGGCGGAACGGGGAGGGCACCGGGGCACCGTGCCCCCCTTTGATTTTGGCATTTTAACATGGGCTCTATGGGCGTTACATGGAAAGAATGGGACCAAAAGTCGGCAGTGCCCCCCCCCCCTTCCCCAGTTGAGCTGGGCGCAGGTACTAAATAGCATCAAAGGAAATCCTATATTCATCTCGCCGCATTTAAGCGCACCAATCGAAAGACGACAGCGTGACCGCGCTGACAGGCAATCAACCTGGCCACATAAAACTAGCTAGTGCAAGGATGAAGGAAGATGTCTATATAAACCACTGGACCATGCAAAGCGTTCATGTAAATAAAATATGAGTAAAGATGACCCGTTTGAGGGCAGACTGGCTAAACAGTGACGTTACACGCGGATCTCAACACTGCACAACCCATTCATCAAAAAAGATCTCGAGGATCCCTATATACGTCATAACTAGCCCTAGTACGGGGGTATATAGCCATGGACGTAAATGGCCGGCTAAATGCACAGGATTCCAATTGTCATCCCCATTACGTGGTCCCCAGAAGTCGCCAGGCCGAGAGCCAATGGCAGTTAAGCACATCTTACACGTGCCGACAAACGTGACACAATGAATCCAATAATGAGCCCGCCAATAAGCCTGCCTAATTCTGCACGTAGGCTGCTATTTACCACCACGGCGGAAGGCTAAAACGCATCCATAGAGCTCAACATAGATGTCAATTTCCGCCGGGTTGGGGGTGCTCAAGCTCTTTAAATTCCCCGCCGGCTCGGCTGGCTTGGCTTTGGAGCCCCAACAGACGGCGCGGGTCAAGGTCACCGCTGAGGCGGCGGCGGATTTGCTGCGCCCGGGCAGTGGGCACCCTCAATTCGGTGAAAATCGACACCCATGCAGCTTAACATGACAAAACGCTGCATACAAGCGCACGTCCTCGCATTTAATTGACGCATTTAACTGCGTCACTAACCTCGTACACTGTACAACACTGGTGAGATGACTGTCCGAAGGAAACTGCCGACTTTGGCTGGCAACATTCAGGGTTGGTGACTTATGTACTGAGTTCGGCTGGCTGACAGCGATAAGACTTCAGGAAAGGTTGATGAACGGGCCATCCTAGCCCCATACTACAGGAGCCCAGCTGGTCTTGGCGAGCGGCGGCGACTGGACGAGGCTGGACCCCTACTACAGGAGCCCAGCTGGTGCTGACGAGCGGCGGTTACTGGACGAACGGGTCAGCCTGGACCCCTATTGCAGGAGTCCGGCTGGTCTTGGCGAGCGGCGACGACTGGACGAGGCTGGACTCCTACTGCAGGAGTCGAGCTGGTCCTGTCGAGGAAATAGTTCACCTTTAACATGGGATTTTAAACTGAGATAGCAGTCTGATAGAGCAGATTTGTGTATGCTCTATATTTGAACCGTTTGAGATATTCACCTTTTATCAGTGAATATTGGTGCTTAAATTCATGTTCTAGTGCTCATTTACAGCAAGCAGAAACCTCTTCAACACACACAGTGCCAATCAGCGATGAGAGCACTTACAGGAGCAGAATCCCTTGCAGCTGATAGGTTGTTCAGCTGTTAGTGTTCATAACCCTTATCATTAAAATAATGAAATCCCTTTAGAAGAAGTGTGTAATTCCAAGTTAGAATACATTTAAATTTTATTCATCACATTTTTAACACATCTTTTTGAATTTTATTAATCAAATTACTCACAGAAGGTGAACTATTTCTTTTAACACTTACCTTGCTTCAATGGTGACATGTAGCTCTTGCAGCACAGAAGGGGTGCGGTTATTTTTTCTCATCTTAGTTTCCTATTTTGGCGCGATTTTGACAATGGGAGATAACACGGAACTTTGGCCGCCAGGTGTCACTGTAGGCGTTCCTGCTGATTCAATTTGCGCCGGTGCCGTACGGAGCCGTACCATGCGGTGAAAGTGGGTGAAATATTGAGGAAGTAGTGAGTCACATGTGACATAAGACCTAAATTTGGAAGAAAATGGCTCAGTGTTGTGTCCATGGCTGCTCGGAGACTGGTGGGGTTGTATTTCCTCGCGACAAGAGGCCGAGGAAGATATGGCTCAGGCTGCAATGGATTTCATCCCACCAAACACTTGGTTGTGTGCCGGAAGTATTTCACCGACGATGATTTTTTGGAATATACTGCATACGGTAAGTTTTTATGGTCATGCGCAGCTTTGTATCTAAGATATACCCTTTCATTCGCCACCCGGGGAACTGGGAAGTCACCTACCGGCTACCACCATTAGTATCAAACGAAAAATGGGTCTGCTTTTTATGGAATGTTCATGTCCTAAATACTACAGAGGTCAACAATCATTTATTAGAATTATACTACTACCTTTATTTGTACAAGCTATTGCATGCTTCATAGACATCTCACATCAACATCATAGGTGAGGTGCGTATACTTCATGATCCATCAAAGTTTAAGGCAAGAAAACACACTTCACAGTGCTATAAACAATGACATGCATTGTCAGGCAAGGGCCAGACAACAGCAGAAGAGGCTGAAGAAGGGGGTTATTCCATCTGTTACTCAGGGCAAAGCACCAGCTTCAACTGCTTCAGCAATTCGTAGGCAGGCTAGGGCTAGGCGCAAGGAAAAGGAACATGGCCAGCTGTTGGACAGCTTGGTCAGTGAACGACTACAGAGCTTAGATGCTGTCCTTTACGTGCAGATAAGATGAATAGGTTTGTGCCTTGTGGCACTATTTATCTATAACTGTTTATCGTTATTGACATTTGAGCAATGGGCAGACACTGTCAGATCCAGACAGGATAGGAGATTCTCTGTTTTGTGATCTGGATGGCAGATGTAAGGGGATCACTTCTCAAAGTTTGTTTTTTGAAAGGTTTTTTTATCCCACAACTCACAGACAAGTCACAAAAGTATACTTAACTGGGCAAATTGTATGTTCAAACTTCAATCTAAAGTGTTTTCATCTTTTGGCAGATGTTAATTGCTCAGAACCAACCAGTGGTAATAAAAGACGTGCATAAAGTTTCTGATAATGGTCTATATCATGCCCTGTCAGGCTGTATACAGTATGTATGAAGCAGTTAATACAAATTTTATTGTTTTCACAGGTACAAGAATGGGCTCAACAGGCAGATGAAATGGAGAAGAGTGCTCCACCTCCACCTGACGTTGCTGCTTATGAGGAGTGCAACACTGAAGGGGGGTGTGTTGCACCACTGCGGGGCTATTTGGTGGTGCTGTCAATATCAGCACTAAGGTTCAATGTCCAAGATCTGTTAGCCTGTCGTGATGTACGTGTCATAACACCAGCGTTCCTTAAAGGGAAGTCCCAGCTCCCTCCCGCTGAATGCACTCAGTCGCTCCCTATCATGAGGGATCATATCCATGTCGGGCGTATGATTGGTCTGATCAAGACTTACTCGTTTCTTAGGGTGCAAATCGATGCCGGTTTAGGTTACGTACCTGTTCTTTCAGACATATTCCGTTCTGTGTGTCTCGTCTGTAGCCTGCAGAAATCGCTCATGCAGGTGGCGGGGATGTGTGCGCTCTGGGACGTTAGCATTAGCAGACTGAGCTTTACCGTCTCATGTTTATTGTACATGCCTACATTTGTGAATGGTGCATTGGAGAGCTACATGTGTATGCTCGTGCACAGTGCATTGCTTGAAAGCTGTATGTTATTTGGTAATCGGTGGTATTGAATGCTTTTGAGTTTTGGAGCTTGCCTTGTCGAAGTGGTTTAGCTAGAACTCTGCTATGTTTCGATGTCAGTTCAATACACCGCTGTTGACCATCATACACTGCTTCAAAAGCCATGTGCTGTATTCGCCATCGCGCAGTGACGCTCATAAGTCATGAGTTCATTGACATGAATAGAAACGAACGAGTTCTGTGTGCAGCTGGTTACAGGATACGGGCATGGTTAAAGGAACTCCTACAGGGTGTAACGAAATTATCCGCACACCTATTTTTCGCCATTTCTGTTCGCATAGGTTCCTTTCTGACGTAAGAAGCGAGAATATTGGATGAATGCGTGCCTCTGGTATCGGCTCTCGCCTCGGCAGTGACCTGACCTTGCGATGTGACTCTTGCTCTGAGTAAGAGTCGAGTTACGGAAGGGTTCATTTGGTAGTTTTCTATCAAATGATTGAAAGCTTTGGGTTCATTTGATGGCATGGCGGCATGAGCCTGAAGCTGGTCTGCCAGCAGCTGGACATCAGCAGCAGCCAGTTGCACATCAGCCTGAGGCGCGATAACTGCCGGGAATTGGGTGACGGACGCAGCCCGGGCCGTGTTCCACGGAGCGCTGCCTTGATTTCATACTTGTCACACACTACCCCTATATCTCCAACAGTATGGTAGTGTGCAGCAAGTATGAAATCAAAAGCGCCAGCAGCGTAGGCAGCGCTCCGTGATACCCGGCCCCGGCCGTGACAGCAAATGGATCGGCAGTAACGCCCTTGCTGCCACCTGGTGGCCATTATTGAAAGCTTTGCTTTGTGCTCTCCCATTTCTGACGCATTCCACTTATTTACTTTAGCGGCCATAGGGCAATGGTTTATTAAGGAGATGTGATGAATTGCAGCAGCAATACTTGAAATATAAGGAAGAAGTGAAGCAATTATGATACCTATTATTTTTTACCTATTATTACCTATTATTTTTTTGCAGCATGTGAAAACAAGGAAATAGAATGAAAGAAGGGCTGCTACTTTTCATGCTCCCGAAACCAGCCATCTCATCATCATAGCATGGTAATGATAGTTAAAGTTAATGTTAAAAAAGAATAGGAGCTGCTGCAAAGGTCTTTGTGATGCCTCAAATCTGTTAAGTCAAGTCAGGCATGCTCTTACAGACTGAACGTTCAAGTTACGAGACCCCATCATACTCCAGTGGCTGCATGGTGTTTGAGCTTGTCAAATACTTAAATGTTTTGCTCAGAAATTGTTTGCTTTATTGGTTTCTTGAGTTTCACCAGATAAAGATACAAGGTTGGCTGATTTGGTGTTAGTTATCCATATTAAAGTGCACTGTTTGTGACAAGATTATGAAAATTGTAACCTCAATAATGTAATTTCATGCTGTCAAAGCTATGATATGTTGCCTTGAGTTTGAAATCAGGCAAACATGGATTGAAGCTGTTTTCTTTAAAAAAAAAACTTCTTAGTAACCTTCACCCCATAATTTGTATTTATTCAATCTCAGAATGGGAGCAAGGCTGAATCACAATTATCTTTTGGGAAATGCTCTACAAAACTGCATTGCTTTTATTTCTGTGGCATAATTTTGTACCTAATTCAAAGACTTTCTCTGGTGTAGTTTGTAAGATTGTTTGAACTTCTACTTTCTGACCTGTTTGGTGCCAATAAATCCTGCAACCTATTTGGCTTATTTACCCATCTCTCTTGCCATTCCTACATACTTCATGTCAGTCTATTGCATAAATATTGTGTAGTTAACATACTTCATGATATACAAATGAATGGTACCTATAGAAGCTCGATGTGGGTAAATGAGAACCAATGAACCTATGTTTTTTACAATGGCATAAAGTCCTCTTGTCACGGCCATGGATATCACAGAAAATTTTGCTGAACTGCGCAAGAGAATCCTGTGCAAGGATATGTTTTGCATGATTTAGCTTAACAGCATAAATTTTATTTTCCCAGTTGCATTGGAGCTCTGCTGGAGTTTGCTGGTGACAGGATGCTGAAGGGCTGAAGCTGGTAGCTCTGGCAGGAGTACAAGTGTCCACTAGCTCAAGATCCGACGCCGCCGCGTCGCCGCCGTGCGGCACTCCGCGGAGACGGGGACGGCGGTCATGGTTGAAGACACCGCATTTCCCGGCTGGACTGTCCGGTCGGAGACTGGTAATCCCTCCGGTGAGCCGCACACCGTGGAGCTACTGCACCGCGCGTGTCCACCCGCAGCGCAGTGCCAGCAACGGTGCCGTGAGTGCGACATCTGCGTGCATATGACGCAGTGCGACTGTCACGACTCGCGGCTCAGTGTTCTTTCAGTGTGACAGTGCGGCTCGCGCTCGTTTTAGCGTGGTGCTCTGTTGTATATAACCACCTTGATGGAGACCTATGTGCTGCCGCTTGAGTTTCAATGTACAGTTTTATGCATCAAACTGGCGTAAGTAAATGGCTGTCAGAGGTCAATTTGAAGCGCAATTAGTACCCATAACCCAGCTGGGTTGAGCGAGTCATGTGACTAGTCCCGATGAACGTACTGTTTCGATGTAGTCAGTCGTAGATTTTTGTAAACCATTCGTTTCGGAGCTCTGTGTTGTGTTGTTCGGGACCGCAGTTGTTTGAGCAGTTTGCTTTATGCGTCGTACGCTGACAGAACGCTGGTCGCACACAAGCTGCGGTACCTATGCAGTTGTAATGTGTCTCGAGACACTAACTGGTCGCACTTGGTTGTGAAAATGACACTAGCTGGTCGCACTTCGTTTCAAACTGCGCTTGGAAATCGTGCAATTTTATTTGCATTTTGCAATGCAATTTTATTGCCGTTACCGTATTGGTAGATAGTGTCAGAAGTGGGCCATTTGATGCGTTGTCACTTGTCAGACGTTGTTGCCTTAGTACTGACGAATTGATGGGCCGCGTTTTGTGTTCCCGTGAAGAAACGGATCTCAATATAAGGTGATTCAGAGGTAGGAACCTGAATGCATTCGTTCAGACTTTTCATTTTATAGGGATGCACTGCTTCATGAGCAAGAACGAGCATGGCTCTGGTTGAGCTAAGCGCAATCGATATTTGTTATCGTGGTTGTAGACTGTGGCCGCATTTACATCACTATTCAACTCCACGCACCAGCATTATTTAAACTGCTTGAACCTATACTTCATTTCGCTAAATTTCGGAGTCGTCAACCTACGGTCCGTGACTCCGTGGCCGTTACGTTTGGCCAATAACTAGATTTTATACATATTAACTGGTTCATATAATCACAGCATGATGCCCCGGACAATTTTTATTTGATTTACTGATAATTGTGTCCCAGTACCGCACAAAATGAGACTGAAACTGGACAACTCGCTTTTCGAGGTTCAAGTTCATTATCTTCAGATGTTATGGAAGCATTTGATGATCGAATAAAATGGTCAGCGTTAGCAGTGCTAATCGGGTATTATGAGCTTTCAGTTATTTCAACATTTGTTTAGGCTATTATTCTTGTGGTGTCTCCTGTCAATTTCACGCGGAACATATAGTATTATCTTATACAATCACGATAACTACATATTTTCTGCCGGTTACTGTTATTATCATTAGATTCGTAATATTTCGCTACGAGCGTGGCTCGATTCACATTGTTATTATATTGGCATTCAAGATTTAAGATTAAAAATCTTTTAATGCATTCCAGTTCCTTCAAAATGCTTACATGCTAAAAAAAGTTATAAAAATTGCAGCAGTTTTGTGAATCAAAAATAGCTGTAAAATAGGCCTGTATAACTTCAACAACAGTGCGCCGAGAAACGTCTAAAAACGCGTAAACAAAAACTAAGATGTAAAAAAATAACTGCACCCCACAGAAGGCACAGCATTTGGCTGCAACTTCAAATATTGACTTGTTGCTATCAATTATTCAGTTTTGAAATGCATACAGGTACAGTGAATCTTGGGTTCTCCTGTAAGAATGCCGACCGCAGAAGCAGAAGTTCATCCAAAGCTTGCGCCTGAAAAAGGGCCAGGTTTAATATATGAGTGAAATGAAGACTTTTGAATCATTTTATCATTATACCATAATCACATTTTTACCTAATTTGTAAGAAAAAGGCTTAGGTTAGCAGAAATAGGTAAGGTTTTGACTAGACCCCCTGGGTCACAAGTACAGGAGATGACCCCCGTGATTGGTGGGACCACCAGGCACCAGCACTGGCACAGTCCGTTCTGACCACCGCACACCTGGTCAGAGCACACTAAATTGCATGTTAAAGCTCCATTAATGCTTTTTTCAATTTTGGCCATCCATTTTGTTGGGTCCATCATGTCCATCACCAAGCCACATTTAAAATGCACTACACTACATCCCCCACCACCTGACCACACCAGGCCAAATCTGCACCGCGCTACACAAAATCCTCACTGCACCAAGCTAAATCCACGCCACACCAAAGCCTCACCAGCCGGACAAGCCAGCACAGACGAGATCTTGTCAAAATTGCCATGTTTTGCAGAGTGCAATTGCATACTGGCCTACCTGAACCTGACCTTACCCAACATATAAGCCTGACTGTCCTTAGCACTGGGAGCTCATTGAGACCAGGCCCCACAGGCCTAGTGGCCTCCTGAAACCTGATTTCCATATGGGGTGAGCTATTTAAGAATGGTGATCGGATATCAAACCCGAGACAAGACAGCAAGAGTAGTGGGCGGTTCATGCAACCATAATCATGTTTCCTTACCACAAGTATCAAAGCAAAAAACAAAAATAGCTACCTATCGAATTCAAATTTCACTGGAACCTCACCTGCATGGACATTAAGTGAAAGGTACAGCTTGATACATCTGCACGAAAGATACATCTTGATCCACTCATCTCAATCTTGTTTTTCTGCATCCAGGGCATGCAACACTTCTGGTCAAGGCCGTATATAGGATATCGCTTCTGGTATTTTTGGGACAACTTACTCGACTGCTGAGCTCAAATGCAAATTGCAATCACGGTCATATAATACTGAATATTGAATCGCAATGTATATTCAGTCGATGTACCCCTCGTTCGATGTCTCTCAGACGACGAAGATTGTACGTCGTCCGGCCAATCCTGTTCTAGGTCAACGGCGGCTCGGCTGCAATTATGGAATGTGATTGGCCAAACGGCGTAGAATCTTTGTCGTCCGAAAGACATCGAACAAGAGTAATGTCGCTACTGCGCCATTGTTGCATCGAATTCGCCCCATAGAAGCACGTGTTAACTCTCTCCCATAGGGCCATGGGTAAACTCTCTCCATAGGGTCCTGGGTAAACTCTCCCCTTGTCTATTTTCTTTAAACGGGGATAGTTTGGACAACAAAATATTTTCGACCTCATAAAAAATAAAACTTAATTTTTGATGTACCTCATTGATGCAAAACATCAGAAAAACATTAGAAATTAAGTCAAAGAAACCGGTTGTTTATAAATGGACAGCTGACGGCATGCCTCCCGTGTCCCCTGGCTTGAAGCTTCGGCTCCGTGTTACCTTAGTATTCTATGACCGTGCCCCTTGGCCTAACCCAACAAAACAAAAACAAACAAACAAACCGTGCAGCACGGCACGCGCGACCTCCGCCGTTTCGATGTTTTCGGCGGAAACGTATGAGGTGCGGCAGTGTTACAGCTTGTTTACAGCAACCAAAACACTGCAAATTTTTATGAGACGATAAGGTTTATGAATTTAAGCCTGCTGAAGAGAAAAATATGCTTTACACGGCTTAACTTGCCTGTTGACCTTAAAACTTTAAAAACAAAGCTAATTACCTAAAATCTAATTATTTAAAGCATTCAGCCTACTGAAATGCATTCTGCCAATCTACAACTGTATATCTATATTTTGCTGTGCTTTAGTGTAGTTTCAAGTCTGATGCATAAGTAGCGTCGTTGATTCACTCAATATACCCTGGATTCGAATAACCAATAAAACAAACAAACAAACAAACTTACGGCGCGGGCAGGGGGGTACGCTCCGGCTGTTTAGCATTACGAAAAATGGTGACAGACGTTTGTGGAGGATTGTCGACGAACTCTTGTTCCGCGAGCAGTACTTACACGCTAGCGGAAAATTCACCAATCAGCGCTCGGCAGTACTCGACGCTGATTGGTCCGACGCTCGTGACGAAATTGCGGGGGACCGCAGTTATTCTCTATGGACCCGAATAGGCTTTTGGATTTCGGAGGAGTTTCTTTAAAATTATATGCTGTTTGGAGCTGTTTTCGAGTTGAAATATATTTCTTATGACTGTTAGCTATATAATGACACCATAAAATCATGATTTTAATAAATATTACCGATGTAATATCGGCCGAAAAGACATGCTGTCATGGCACGGACTGCCCTGCGGCTGATGTGGGGCCCCTAGTGCCAGCGTATGGTAATAATGGGTTGACGAAGGGTTATTGGAGAAACTTAGAGCCCCTTTAGCATTCAGTATAGGGTCATCAGAGGCCGGGAATGTCCATCAGGGGTCTGAGTAGGCCTGTCATAGGGGCATACATGACACATCATGGCCCATGGGTCAATGTAGATCCATTAGGGGCCGTTGAAGGGCCATCATTGTTCAGCGTGGGCTCGCAATTACCTCTGATGGGCATATGCCGTGCCCCGATGGACTAACGCTGGCCCCTGATGAACCATCACCAGCCCCTGATAGGTCTACAAAGCCCTCTGCTGGGTCCAAATTGGTCACTGATATGCCCAAATGGGCCACTGAGATACCCGTACAACATCGGGCACATCCCCTGACTGCACCTGCTGGACCAATGCCGTCCCCTCATGGGCCCACCACAGCTCTTGAATGACCTTTTCAAGTCCCCTGAAGTGCCTTTATTGGCCTAAATGGCCCCTGATTGACTGATGTGGTCCCTATTGGTCCTATATGGCCCCCATGAGCCCTCAACGTCGGCCTAGACAGCCTTACATTATATGCCACTGGGCCCTGTTGGGTCAGCACCGGCCCCCGATAGGCTTGCACACTGGACCCACCGGGCCTATACCGACCCATGAAGGGTCTATTACCGGGGTTACATGAGCGATCCGTTCCAAATACGCACTACGCTAATGCGCATCAGCTCCCCACAAACGGATCTACGGCACCGGTTACATGAGACTAATTCGTTTTATCTACGTCAAACGGATCTTCTTTGGCTCACCCGGGCTGACTCCTCGACGGCCGGTAATTCGCATCACAAACGGAATAGGATTAGCGTACAGTCATGGCGCAGTTGTGGCATTTACCGGGACGACTGAGCTAAATTTTAAATACTTATATCATTTGATAGGCTCAAAAACATTTTAAATTAACATGAAATCAAAAAATGAAAACAAAGTTTTCTTGTTTTAAGTCAGTGGGCACTGATTCGCCATGCAGCGACAGCAGGGTGGTCAGAAAAAATTATCTATCAAAATATTTCATTCATTTTATTTCACATGCAAAGACTAAACCAAAATACCAACATTTTTTTCCTATTTTCTACGAGGCAGCCAATAAAAAAAATTGTTAGGTATTTTGCATTTTGACGCTTCCAGTCAGCAAAGAATAGTTCTTGTGAAATACGGCCCGAATCGTGTGCCTCGGACGTTTCGGTTACATGAGCGATCCGTTCCAAATACGCACTACGCTAATTCGCATCAGCTCCCCAAGAACGCATTCAGTGCACCGACTACATGAGCAAATTCGTATCAGTGACGTCAAACGGATCTAGTTTGGCTCTCGGCCCGATGCGCATTACAAACGGAATAGCATACAAATGTGGCGCACTTCCGTAGCAATAGAGGTGACTATATTAAAAATTTATTATCTTATGTCTTTTTTGCATTTAATCTGCTCAAAACATTCTCAATTAACTTAACAAAAAAAAGTTGAACATAAAGTTGTCTTGCTTTGACTCATTGGGCAATTGCCTCTCTTGATTCGTCTGTAGTGCTGTCAGAAAAATGTTTCAACTGAAATTATGTGGATATTTACTATTTGGTTTTCACTATATTTATTGTTGAAAACTTGGCAAAATACCGACATATTTTTTTAATATTATTTCAAAAGAAGAAAATGAAAAAAATACCTATTATTTTGCATTTTAATGTTTCTTTTTGCGAAGAAATAGTTCCTGTAATACGTATCTTGGTCCTATTCGCTTCTAAGCCTCTTTCTCAGCGGATTTTGTTCGGACCGCCGATTCGTATTAGCAGGTGGATACATGAGTCGGTAGTACGCTCCTGATTCGCATTAGCGGTGAATCCGATCGTGATACGTATTTGCTTTGCTCATGTAACCGCGGATCGGATCGCCGATTCGTACTAGCAGGTGGCTACATGAGTCGGTAATGCGTTCCTAATTCGAATTAGCGGCTAAATACGTATTTACTGTGCTCATGTAACCCCGATATATGTCGAAACCTCACGGACCTCCGATGACCACACGCCGACATGTGTGGCCCCATCAGCAGTGGTCCGTCTATCCCATGTACTTACGGTCTTTTTGGCCGATGTGACACCGGTAGTATATAGAATGTCATGATTAAATGTCGTTATTACACAGTCAAAAGTCACAGAAAGAATATCCAAGCTCAAAAATGGCCTCAAACCCAACAAAAACTGGTATAAATCCCCTTCAAAAGCCGTAAGTCTATTAAACGCCATAGGGGAATAGCTACAGTCCCCCGCAATTTCGTCACGAGCATCGGGCCAATCAGCGTCGAGTATTGCCGAACGCCGATTGGTCGATTTCCGCTAGCCTGTAAATGCTGCTTGCGGATATAGTTTTGAACAAGTGAGGGTCGCGGCTACTAATTATCGCTTGTCACCACTTTTTCGTCGGGAACGTTCTACCTGGTTTATATAGCCTTGGGCGCGGGTGTCGGTGTGTTAGTTGCTGTGGATTTTGCTTTTTATCGTTTTTATCACGGTTTTTATAACACATTTATCTAAGCATTTCCACTATTTTCCCATGTTATTGTTAGTTTAATTTGGAGTGGTGAAGTTGATTCCGACTATAGAGATTTTGAAAGGTAGAGATCCATTGTCAAACTGAGAAAAGTACAGTCCAAGTCTTAGACTCAGCAGAAGTATAATAACTCAAAGGCTATGCTATCAATCAGTCAGAACTTCTATAGAGCCTTGGTCAGAACTCACTGCAGATAAATGCGCCATGCTCCACTCCTTCGATTAGGTCTATCACTAAACAAGGTAGGTATGCGCCTTGTGTGGCAACAAAATGTGAAAGTTTGTTTTTGGGGCAAATATCAATTTAAACTTTTGGGTTTTATTGCAAAAATGGATGGAATATGAGTACGATGATTATGGCTATGCCAATCTAAGGTGCGGAGTCTCGCGCGTCTTGCTGTTACGATTTCTGAATGACCGATTGCATAGTATTCACCTTATTCTCAGTTTTGTCGAAAAAAGAATACCTACCACACAGTTTGCAGAGGGCTTTAGGTACCTACCTAATGTGCAGTTATGACCGCAGTTTCAGTCATGGATATGTTCTGCTTGGCTTTTTCCTAACCTTTCTATGTTTTCATTTTTGAATGTCCTGAATCTGAACGTAGGTAATCCAAGTGCAGCAAGCCAGTTGGGGAAGCTCAAGGTTAACCCGCGCCCTGCTGGGGGGGGTGTTTGAACACCCCCCCCTGTGGTTTTTCGCGAATATCTCAAAAACGGCGGCGCGGAGCGCCGCCGTTTTTGGTACACCTTATCATACATCAATTCTACACATGTTGTGAAAATTTTAGACCAAGGTCATTCAA